CATCATCATCATCATCATCATCATCATCATCATCAGCCAGCCAGCCAGCCAGACCCAACCTCAGGTCTGGCCTTACTTGAAGTAGAACCCGGTTGTGGTATTTGAACTCTTTGCGTAGTCTACCGCCGTGTCGCTTGTCTTTACCGGCATTTCTGCTCTGCTCTGGTGACTGCGCGACTGCCGCCCATGACGGAGCGCTGCCCAGTAATCTAATTGGCTAACGCCACGCGACAGGGAATATTCTCGATCTCCACACTGACAGGTCAACGACCACGTACTCAATGAAATGGAGCGCGAGGGTTGCAGGGTTGCCGTAAGACGACCTTTGGTCGTCTGTCTAGAGACGTTGCAAGATTGAAGACGAAAGCGCGTCCACAGGTAGCGGATAGTCGGACAGGTATGACACCACTCCCACAATGAGCCATCTCAGAGAAAGGCGCCTGTGAGAGCTGCCACGAAAGAATGCACTTGAGCCATGGCTTTCGAGCTATCGTCACATCTGATTAGCGCATATCTTCTACACATTCTGATTAGGCGCGCCAATAAATTTACGCAGCCTTTTTGTGAGAGGAACTTGCCATATTTGTTATACAGTTCTGCTCGTGGTTGATTGTCTTCTCTTCCTCTTCCGTACTGGCTTTGGCAATAACAGTCGAGCAAGCCCACGCTTTGTGTTAATTACAAGTTATCATAAGTGGTGCCAAAAGAACAGGCACATACTCCGAGTGACCTCCAGCGGCTGCAGTTGGATGATTCTCAGTAGTATGTGACAGACACTAGCTCCCACATCAACCTAAACCGTACTCCTAAGCGTAAATCTAACCTCAACCGGACCCCTTAGTCTACGGTTTATACTCGCCCTAAACCGAACCTAAATGTAATTCCTTTCCCCCTGGAATTCGGCTCTTACACACGTGCACTGCAGGCGGTTCCTGTTCCCGTGTCCTGGTCAGCATTAACTATTTGTGCTAGAGGGAGTTAGAGGGTTTGCCCAAGATTACGCAAACTTTTCCGAGTGTAGTAGTGCTGTAAATGCCCCCATTACTACGATGAGTCGTCGCACAGAAAGGCATCTGTGTGAGTGTACCTGGACCGTGACTATCGATCTCCCGTCAGATCTGATTGGTCCATGCCTCCGACACTTACTCATCAAGCGGAAAAATAAATATATACAGTCCTTTTGTGAGAATTATTTGCTGATTGTTACTACAGATCTCTTTGTGGTCAATTGCCTTCTCCTTTCCCGTGTTAGTTTTGGGAACAAAACTCGGACAGGCCTACAGTTCGTGTTAATTATAAGTACCAG